AGGGAAGAGGGCTAGGAAAGATAATAGGATACACTCCTCCTGGGGCAGGGTCTGCCTCTATGGCTTGGGGAGGTTCAGGCTGGAGCACATCCCCAAGGCCAAGTCTGTCTGTGGGCAGGGCTGATCTCTGAGAATTTCCTTTAAAATGGAAACACCTGAAGAGCCCTTATTCCAGTGCTTGAGGGTGAAGGTGGCTTTCTCCCCAGCCTCAGTTTCTCTGTGTGTAAGCCTGAATGATATCAGTCTCTTGGGTACTAAATTTTGGCCCACAGGGGAGTTAACAATTTGCTGGCTCCACCCTCTGCCTCTGCGTGGCTGCCTCTACTCCACATGGGGGCAGAGGTTCACAGTCATACGTCTTACCTGAATCTGCTGCCACCAGCGTCCGGGTTCCCCATCCTTAGCACGCATCCCTCATCTAAGCAGGCATTTTCCTCACTCTGAGCCTTCATATGCTCCATGTGAGTGTCACAGGAACCTGAGTGTGCCACTGGTATTGGGGCCTCCCAAGCCAGTCCTCTCTAGCACCCCACCGACCATACCTATGGACTAGAACTGGCCTCCTGCTGTTGAAATAACACTGGGTAGGGTGGGTCAGCCACACCCACCCTCAGTTATTTTCCTGCTGCCTCATCACCTGGCAGAGCTGAGTAGGACCTGACAGCCAGCAAAGGAAAATGTTTTCTCTTTGGGCCTCGTAGTATGCTTGTTCACATTTTCTACAGTGCCCTTGCGCCTCTGTCCTCCTGAGCTCAACATTCATGGCCTGCTCAGATTAGCCTCAGGGCCGGGTGTCCAGCCTCTCTTGGATTACCCATGTCAGGGCCTGAGTGGCTTCGGGAGACTCAGCTTTCTGCATGCTGGGGTACAGCTGGGTGTAAGTGCTTTTCTGAGCTCATCTGTCCCCTGGGAGACCCCTCACGGTCCCTGTTTGCCTAACTTCCCTCCATGATTCAGATCAGGAGCTTCCTTCAGGAATCCTGACCTTATTGTCCCCCTCCTCCGCCGTCCTAGGCTTCCCCGTCACTGTCTGGCACCCTGATATCAGAACTGGGGTAGCGGGCCACATGGCTTCAGGAATTGGTGGGGCTTCAAGGCCACAGCCAGGTCCTGGTAGGCAGGATGTGAACTCTCCCATAGGAAGGACCCAAGACAGGGGCACACATGGCTCAGTGCCCCCTCAGTGGTACATTCGCCATTTGAGTGTGCCACACAGAGGACCCTGGGAAAAGAGACAGGATCAGGGCACTAGTGTGTGTCTCGGGAGGCCTAAGGGCACCAGGGTCCAGCTTAAAGCTCATAGTCACTTAAGGAGGCTATGCCAGGAAACTTTCTTTATCCCCTCCTTGCAACCTCGGCTTCCTGGAGTGATGGCAACTCAGCCTCCCATGGAAGGCTCTGCAACACAGTCCTTAGTGAGGGGCTAAGGCAGCGAGGACCCTGGCATTGGTGCTAGCCTGAGCTGAGAGACTTGGGCACACACTTCTCTAAGCCCCCTTAACATCAGCCCAATGGGGGTCATAAGAACTACAGGCTCACTGGGCTGTCAAAGCCATAGAGAGTGAAAAATCATCCAAGGAACTTAACATTTTCCCAATGACAACTAGAACATACTATAAAGTCAGGAATCAGAACTGTGAGGAGCTGAGGGCACAGCCAACTCCCCTCTGCAAGGGTCAAACTGAGGCTTAGGAAGTGACAAGGGCTCCCAGAGGGATCTCAAGTCAGGCTGGGGTTGAGATGGCCCTCTGACAGTCACGTGACTCTACTTCACCTCCCACACCTTTAGGAGGGCCTTGCCTGAAGAACCTTGGGCCTAGAAGGCCACTGGCTGCCGGATGGTCCTGGGATGCCCTGCACACGGTGGGGGTGGGGGTGCTTAGAAAATCCCCCTGGCTTTGGGCCAAGAGCACAGCTGCAGAGACAAACAGGATACTGGTCTCGGCTGCAGTGGGGACAATAGCCCAGAGAGGAAACACCTCCAAACCCTGTATGGGTATGAGTCTGCAGGGGGCTCTGTCAACAGCTCCCAGAAAAGCAAGCTGGTAGAAGGTTGGCATCCCAGGGGTCTGTACCTTTTGGAGAGAGGTGAAGCATGTGCACCTGCCCCTCAGAATCCCCCATGATGGAGACAGGAGGGAAAAAGGGAGTGTCCACAGTACCCCATGAGTGTGGCGGAGACAAACCAGCCCTATTCCCTGGGGTGGGCATAGGGAGGGCCTGAGGACAGGAGACTGGCCTCAACCTGGGCCATGGGGACAGTCTTGGGTTGAGCTGAAGCCTATGGAAAGGTAAAGTAGAGACCCCACAGGTTTGTCCCCAGGGGTGGAGTTCTAACACTCCAAGGAGACTGGCCCATTTCTTTCCCCAGAATGTTCCTGTTGAAGCCCATGGGCTGGGACAGAGCCAGGGACAGAGTGGAGAGCTTGTGTGTATGTGAGTACACACGTGTGTGCTATGTCTGTGTGTCCATGCATGTGTGTCTCTATATCCACACACGTGTCTGTATGCGCATGCACATGTGCAGAAAGAGAAGGGAACAGAGAGCAGGGCTGGGGTTAGCAGGGCCCAAGAGCCAGCCACCCACGGACTTCCCCAGTCTCAGTACCAAGGGTGTCCCCAGCCTTCACCACAGAACACAGGGCTGGCAGCGGTCAGGCAGGGACAGGGCCTGGCTCTGGTCCACAAGGAGCTAATGATCAACTGGCCGATGGCGTCCCCACACGCACTGGGCCTGCCTTGGGTCTCTGGCCCCCAAGCTCAGGGAGGAAGTCGGGCAGGAAGCAGGGGGCGGTGACCGCACTGAGCAGTCAGTCAACTGTGGGCGGCCCCTGCCTGCCTGGGATAGCTGGAAACAGCCTGTAGGCCAGCCAGAAAGGAGCCAAACCAGGAGTGGCCACCTGGAGCCTGCGTCTCTGGGCCTGGTGGCCTGGGAGGTGTCTGTGAAAAGCAGAGTGCAGGTACGGGGGCTCCGGGAAGGAGGGTGTGGACCTTCCCAGGCGGCTGTGGTCAGTACAGCCAGGCTTCGCCGCAGTGGTATCTAAGAATAGCATCCCACCTTCCTCTTTCTGGGAGACTCTTCTGGCTTGTTTGGGGTTGGAGTCAGGCAGAACCCCGGCCTTTGGAACTCCAGGGTGCTGCTAGACTGATTTATAGGGATTACTCAGATGTGGCCAAGTGCTGCCTCTGTGACCTGCCTTCATGTTGACCCTTAATGACCATGTCCCTGGGATCCAGACAAGTCATGGGAGCTGAGTAGCAATAAGAGATCAGTGGTTCCTAAGTGTGACCCCCAGCTTTGGTTCATCACAGGCCGCACTCCTGTGACTGTGACCTGGCCACTCTAAGGTCACTCTGGGTCTCTTTTTTTTGGTCTTTTTGAGACAGGATTTTCCTGTAGCCCCTCTCTAGGTAGACCAGGCTGGCCTCACAGAGATCTGCCTGCCTCTGCTTCCCAAGTGCTGGGATTAAAGTCATGCTCCACCATGCCCAGCTCTCACTCTGGGTCCCTTTATGTCCACCAATGAGATGCATGACTTGACCAGAGACACTAACCAAATGTCCCCAGCAACCTCAGCATGAGCAACCTACTAGAGGGCTGGCCACTTGGATATAGCCTCCCAGCCCTGTGATCGCAAATAGGGCACGGGCACAAGTCAGGTGTGCTCGGGTTGAAGGGCCAGACTCCCACCACTGGGCTAAGGTCCCCTGCCACTGTGACTCTGGCTAGGCCAAGCCTCAGGTTTCATGTCCATGACATGGGTAGGGGAGCGAGGTCATCCTCTAGTCTGAAGGTTTAAGGCGAGGGCCTAGGAGGATGCTCAGGAGCATCTGAGTAGTGCCTCCGTATGCAACTGTCAACATGTTGCTGTGTCAGGCCCTGTGCCAGTGTTTGGATTGTGTGGCCCCTCAAATGCCATGATGTAGGTGTGTGAACCCCACTTACCAAGAGGAAAAGTTTCAGTGTGGTCATGTCTACAGTGACACCCTGGTGGCTTTTAGTGACAGAAATTGTGTTCTCAGGGTTTGGAGGCCAGGAGTCAGAGACAAGACATGGGCAGGGTCCAAATGCAGGTTGGTTCCTGCCTCCTCCAGCCTCTGAGGCCAGTTGTTCCTTGGCTTGTGGCTGCCTGGCCACTGTTCCTGCGTCATGTGCCCTCCTCCTCCTCTGTGTGTCTTGTTCTCTCCTAGGAACCCTAGACACCAGGCTGTTCTAATCTGACATGACCACCTAGTCCATTGAGACCACTCTAATCCCCCAAGACCTGAATCTCCTGAGGTCCACTTCATCTGAAAAACCCATTGCTAACCAAGTCCTATCTTGAGGTTCCTTGTTAGTGTAACTGGGAACCACCCAGTAGGGGATGCCCAGACAATCCCCAGGGGTGCTCCTTTATAAAGCAGGCAAGGTATCAAGTATGGGGTCCTCTCTCCAAGCATGGGGTCCATATGTATTGGGCAGGGCTCCAGCCAGATCTCAAGGAACGTTGGCAGGGCTGACTGGAGCAGTTCCTCCCTTCCTCCAGCCTACAGTACCAGATGCGGGCTGTAAGCCAGAGCTCATCTGCTTTATCCTCCCAACCTCCTGTGAGTGGGTGTTTTCATTCTTATTTTATGGGTGGGTAAACTGAGGCTTTTCCCCCACCAAGAGTGACTCTAGGTCTCCGTGTTCCGGCAGCAAACCAGGTGGGTGTTCAGGGTCTGGAGTCTGTGGCTGACCTGCCTGGGGTCACTCACTGCCTGGGGTCACCTGACACCTGGGCTGAAAGGCCTGAAAGAGGCTCTGCAAGCCATTCAGTGTCCACCTGAGCTCAGCAGGTGTATCCTCCACACTGCTGGACCCTGCCTGGGCCTGTGTTGGCTGGGCTCTGGACTTGAGGAGGAGCAGGCTGAGCAGCTGAGGCCTGTGCAGGGAGGAGGCAGCTCTGTGAAAGGCAAGGGAGGGGCTATCCCAGAACAAGGCCCACTTCCTCCCTGAGCACCAAAGCCCAGTGTGATCACAGCTTCTGAGCCCTCAGTAAGCAGGAGGACGTTCCCTCAGCTGGGAGGCCCTTTTCTCAAAACACGTCCTGAGCGCCAGCTCTGTGCCAGATCCCTGGACACCCTGAGCACCTTCCTGACCCAGAGGAGGTGAGTGGGGATGGAGCCAGATGTGGTGGGCATTGGTCAAATGGTGTAGAGACATCAGCCAGCTTCCGGGGCATTGCCCTGCTTTTTAAGGTCTAAATGGCAGAGAGAGGAGGACCAGGACCTCCACAGGCTGGGGTGGGCAGTAGGGGAGGCAGTGGAGAGCCACAGATCCCATAAGGTAGGACCTTACTCATCAAGAAATAAGGCCAAGTGCTTGGTTAAGGGGCTTAGTGTGTTCTGTCTGGGAAGGCAGGAAGTCACCCACCCATCAAGAATGGGCCTTGTGGTCTTTACAGACCTGGACCACACATTGGACCTCTGTAGTACTGGACAAACTCTGCAGTTTAGCAAAATGAGGCAGGGAAGGACACAAAGTCCAGACTCAGGCTGGACTTGGACTGGGGAGAGGGCCAGACTGCCAGAGCGAAAGCCATGAAGGATGCCCCAGGCATCTCAGGCATGACCAGCTGGGGCAAGCAGGGAATGGTGGGGGGAGGAGGCACACAGAAGTTTGTGTCACCCGTAGCCATGTTGTAAGAGTGGACAGCAGCTCCAGACCCCACCTTCCTGCAGCTGTATTTACTCCTTTGGGAGCCTTCAGGTGAAGGGGTTTCTGCAGGTCCAGGGTCCCCTTGGCACCTTTGGTATGAGATACCCCCTTTCCATCTACTCAGCCTGTTTCCACCTCTCAGGCAAGGTTGAAGAGAAGGATTCGCCTACAAACCAACCAATTGGGTTCCAGGTGGAGCAGGTGGGCAGGTGGATGGGTAGGTCAGGGGCTTGCTGAGGCTACTTCTTAGAGGTGGGGAGGGGGAGACAGAGACCTGTGAGTCTGGTCACATACCCTAGGCTGTCCTGTGGGGTCACCTGCAGCAAACAAAGGCCACTGGTGGGTCTCAGAGGTGTTGGGCATCTTGCATCAATAGTCTCCTCTTCTCTTGACCCGTCTCTGATAGTGACGTCATGTGGGCCTTGGAAGTCTGTCACTAAGAGGCCTCTCAGCTGACCACCATTCTCTCTCCACAGGAGGCCAGCAGCATGCCCAGCTCTCAGCCCTGAGGCCACTGCAGGTCATGAGGGTCCCCAAAGAGGTGACTTCTGAGCAGCCAACCACCATGGGGAGGGGCCCTGCAGGTCCCCCAGGAGACTGTAGCCAAGGGGACCAGATCCAGAGTGTGACCATGAGCTCACCCACTGACCAGGAGCAAGTAGGCCCCAAGAAGTCTGAGGCAACCGTCAGAGGTGGTAAGTGTGGATGTTAAAGCCCATTCCATCTTCGTGTCCACCCACCCACCCACACATACCCATTCCACCTCCTCCAAGCTGACAGAGCTGGCACAGGCACCCCAGCACCTCCCACTGGGCCTACTGGGTCCGACATTCTATGGGCTCAGTATGACGTCCCCATGGCTACTTCCCACACAGGACTGAAAGTCTCGGCCTTCAGCACACGATCAGGCCTGAAGCTAGTCAGGCCTGGCGCAGTACGGCTGGGCCCAGTGTGTCCTTCACTGACCTGGCTGTTCTAGGAGCCTCGGCGATACCAAAGCTGACAGACAGTGAGAAAGGGCCTAAGGCCAACCTGCTTACCTGGAGAATGTTCTAGAAATACTTCTGGATGCACTAGTCTCATCTTGTCCTCTAAAACCCTAGATTACTTCAGGTGGGATACTCCTGGCTCCCTAGGAGATAAACCAAGGCCCAGGTCCCACAGTGATGAGGGACCAAGGAATAGAGCCATCTCCTGAGGCCTGGGTGATGACATCCACTATCACCCAGGCAGGCACTAGAGTGCGGTGATGCTGAAGCTAGATGGGCTGTACCCCAGGAGATCTGGTTCTCATCCTGGCTGTCCATGGGCCACTGCTTCACTTGGGCCTCAGTTTCCCCCCACTCAAAAAGCCTGAGGGGCAGTCTCAGTAAGCCCAAGGGCCCCTTCCCTACCATCCTTGAGCCCTGATGGAGAGGAGAGGAGAGAAAGACAGGCACTCTCTTTCCTGAGCCTTCTGGACACATCCTGTCACCTGTTCTGCTGTTGTTTCTGGCCTCCAGGGCTAGCCGTATGTTGCATGATTGATCCCTGTTGATTGATACAGGAATGACTGACATGTTGGGAGAAGTGACTTTGAGCCTCCCAGGCAGGTACCTAGCCTGGACCCTGACCTGTGGGCCCTGGGCACTTGTAAAAATGAGGCTTGTCATTTGGGGCTTCTGCCCCGGTGGGCAGGTGGATGGGTAGGTCAGGAGCTTGCTGAGGCTACTTCTTAGAGGTGGGTTGTGGCTTCTGCTAGCCTTGCCTGCCCTTGTCTTCTATGGGCTAAGTCGCTTTACTGTGAGTCTACCCAGATGTCCAGTCACCTTCCACCACCTCCAGGGTTAGGTGGCCCTCTCTTCCCATCTGTGCCTGATTCCTAAATGCTAGCAGGCCTCGGTCACCTGGGTCCTGGACACCCAGTGCAGAGACTGTATGTATGTGTGTGTGTATGTGTGTGTGTGTGTGTGTGTGTGTGTGTGTTGGGGGGGTGGCAACAGTGCTTGTTGTAACAATCGAAGACTCAAGAATAGGGAGGTCTTCCCACCTCTGCAGAAAGAGAGATGCCATGAGCCAGGCCAGGGCTGGCCCTCAGAGTGACAGTAGCACTCATGGGGGTTGATTGATACAGGAATGACTGACATGTTGGGAGAAGTGACTTTGAGCCTCCCAGGCAGGTACCTAGCCTGGACCCTGACCTGTGGGACCTGGGCACTTGCAGAAATGAGACTTGTCATTTGGGGCTTCTGCCCCAGTGGAGAAGGGGAACCTGGTGGCCTCTGAGGTATGACTCACAAGAGGAAATGGTCCTCCCAAGAGGGGAGGCCTGAATGGGACCTGGGCCTAGAGAGCCTACCTCTGCCACAGCTCTCTCTCTAGAGTGACCTGGATAAGAAGACAGGGCCCCCAGGAGGCTGTAGCCCCAGAAGGCTGTCCCCACCAGGCACACAGAAAGGAAGGGAAAGCCTGACAGCCTGCCCAAGAGTTGCCCACCCAGAGAGGGGCTGCCAGTGTCAAAGCCTGAAGTCATGAGGCCCCAGCAGGCAGTGACAGGCATGGGAAGTATTTGGGGATCCCGAGGCCAGGTAATTCACCAGTGGTCACCTGACATCAGATGACTGCAGCTTGGCCCACCTACCCTGTGGATTTCTGCCTTAGGAGGCTTGATTGCAGCAGAGGCTGCTGGGTGGACAGGACAGTCCCTAGCTCTGAGTCTTCAGAGAGGCAGCAGAAATCACAACACACAGAGTAAATATCTCTACCCTCCAGTACTTCAAATGTCACATTCCTCTGAGTTTGCTGCATTGCATTCTGA